TTGAAATAAGTAGCATCTTCTTTTTTTTTAACCAAAGTAGCTGGTATGATTAGAAAAAATACAGTACTTCTTGGCCACATAATCCCTTGCTCAGGGAATCAGACAAATATAATTGACAATGAAACAAAAAAGATAATAGAATCTCATCCACTCATTATCATCATCATCATCACGGCTAGGCTTCACAAACGAAGATTTGGGAGGGGCTCTACCCACGTTTGTAACAAGCACACTGGTGGCTGAAAAGGCCAATGCAAGATAGACACGTCCGGTTGCAAAAGGCACAGCAGAAAGACTCCTTAGGTGGTATATTCTGCAAGGCACGATTCTTTCTGTGTTATCTTTTCTCCTCAAGAGTGATCCTGCGTGCTTTCTCAAAAGCATCAGCGTTATAGATAGTGTGTCTCCAGACCTCCCGAATGGAGGCCAGAATAGACCAGTTATGTTGATCAATATGGCCAAGGCTGAGATGTTGTTTCAGGGAGTCCTTGTGTCTTCTCTTCAAGGCTCCTCTCATGTGGCAGCCAGTGGCAAGTTCACCATAAAGCAAGATCTTAGGGAGGCGGTGGTCCTTCATCCTTGAGACGTGTCCTGCCCAACACAGCTGTGTTCTCAGCAACATGGCCTCGATAATTGAGATTGCTGCTTGTTGTAGAATAGATGTATTAGTCACATAATCTGACCAGTGGATGTTTAGGATTTTACAGAGACAGCGTTGATGGAAGCGTTCTAGGAGTTGCAGGTGGTGGCGGTAGATGACCCGTGATTCAGATACATCTCATCCACTAAAGTATAGTCAGAGAGCATATTTTGTACTTGATCATAGAACCTTAAAACAATAAACCAGGATCAATGTCCCATGGAATGTAATCTTCATTCAAAATAATTTTTCTAATGGCATGCCTGTCATATTACACTGAGCACGCCTTTCTAAACCATGTTGGTCTGGATACCTACAGTTGCAATTGCTGAAAAGCAGTAGGAAGACAAGATCACAGTCCATGTTACAATTACAGTTACATTTGTGAAGATGGATTTTTTTCTTTTAATTTTCCCATCAGTTTGATTCTATTCTGTAGTAATTTTTTTCTATATTGTCACTCTACTAAAAGGTTCTTTACTCCAATCCATGTTAGGACATAGCTAAAAAGATTGGGTGGAATTCACCCCTGAGGCAACTCCATTAATTTCAACAGATATAAATTGCGAGTTTGTCTAATGAAGATTAACTTAGCATCAGTGAATGAAACTGAAATATTTCCACAATTATAAGTGCTGTTATCTTTGAAAAAAATATTCTAAATGATACAGAAAAATCTTAATATATTTGGAAGAAAAAAACACATATAAGTAACATATGCACACATCCTTTCCAATACCCCTATATTCTTTAACTTTTACTTATATTAATTTCCATCAGCCTTTAGGATTAGTCTTGTTGCTTGTAGCTGTGTTGCTCATTAATCAGGCTAAGAGCATGGCCCCTGAGCACTAGGCCACAGTGCTAGGCTACTCAACTACTTAATACCTCCTTGCTTTTTGTCTGTTTTGGCCTGAAGAAAGCAAGGTCAGGCATTGTCCTCCGCAGACTGTGTGGGTCAGATCACTCTACTGTGAGACGAGAAAAGAGACTGCCTTCAGAAACAGAGAAAAGACTCCCTTGTCCATTTTGCATGTTAGTACCCACGTGACATTTGTGGCCACTGAGAACCACACTGGGCAGAAGCCTGGTCATCATTAGCAAAGGTCAGTTTAGTGCTGCCATGATGTTAAATAAGCCTAAATTTAAAGTCTAATGAAGTTAGAATTTTACTCTGATGATAACGTGTTTGGGAAAGTCCACAAACCTTCTCTCTCTGCCATCAGATAGAGTGTCCCATGCTGCCTCTTGCCAACTGCAGAGGTGGAAGAAGCTGGCCCCCAGGACTCAGTACAGAAATGAAGTTTCGTGCAGCATTTGTGAAACTGGAAATATTATAGAGATAAGATCTAGAGAAAATCTTGGGGTGTCTTCTTGTTAATTTTATAAAATTCTCATTCATTTTAATGAGGCTGTTCTGAGTGCTACCTACTGCTTTTTACCATTTATATTTGAATCTGAGTGGGTTTTATGATGAAGATCCCTTCAGCATAATTTTTATCATAATACTTTATTGAATGGTTTTCTTGTGTACCTGTTTGCCTGTATTTTGCAGGTTTTTCCCACTCCTTTTACTCTGGAGACAGTTTGGAAGGGAACTTTAGAGATTATCTAGATCCAACCCCCTGCCGTAGACCCTCCAGTTGTTGTTAATTATTATATTTAGGACAAGGAATCAGAACTAGAGACCTGAAATGCAGGATATAACAAAACATAAGAAGTTAGCTCTTCTGTATTTTAATTAGTTTTGTACAATTTTTCTACAAATTTTTCTACACTAGATTCTTGCAGTAAAAAATATGTACTTGAAACTGTCATATGAACAATGTCAACAGATACAGATAGAACATTTAAATTTATTTTTCATTTAATTATTTTAATATTAATTTTTATTTTTCAGTGCTTGAAGTAGCTGTAAGAATTTGGAACATATTTGAGTAGGATATCCTAAATGCTGTGAAATTCTGCCATAAGTAAAACATACCTGAAATTATGTTTTAAAAGATATTCTCTTGTATATGCTGATGGAGGTTGTGAAAACTCACTTAGCCTTTCCAGTTTGCCTTCTTTTTCCTTTCTGTTACAGAATTTTGATGGACTAGTAGCAAAGTTTGAGCTCACAGCTATTTGTTTGACTTTCTGAGAGTGATTGCCCCTTGTTTAAAAAGGAATCTTAATTGATGATAGAATACATACCTACAATATGTTCTCAGTCTGTTCATACATAACAGTGTGTATGTCCTGGAGAAATGTAAATGACAGAACCTCTGTTTCAGTGAAGTAATTACTATTTTCACAGAGACTGGTAAATGTAAAACTCTGTACAAATGATAATAGTTATTGCAACTATTATTTGCTTCCAAAGCATATATGGTATAGGTCCTTAGGTACTAACAGAGGAAGTTGTACTACGTGTTCAGATTAAGAAGTAAAATTTTCTTTTGCCTCTCTATTGACTACCCTTAAATTCAAATGTGCATTAGTAGATATTTGCTGGTTGCTTATATGTTGGCTGAAAGGGGAAGGTGGACAGGAATATGCCTGGAATTAAGATTCTACTTCTCAGCTGATATAACTGAGATGGTTTTGATCAACAAATCTCCGTATTCACTTTAAAAGGATTGAGAGGGGGAAAAAATATTGTCTCAGAAAACTACCTTCCTCTTTCAGTTGATCTACTACTTAGATTGGTTATGAACTTTTCCTAAGAAATTTTGTTTGCTGTTTAAAAAAATGTGTGAACTTTGGTGAACATCTGTTATCTTTTCTCTTTTCTTCTGTACATCTCTTATAGTTATTCTGGTCATCTAATAGTTTGTCTAAATCAGTCATCTGGTGGTGAGTGGAAATGCAGATGGGTAATGTATTTCAGGATTATATTTCTACTCTAGTGATGGAAACAAATGAGCTCTCTCAGATCTGCTCATTGAGGCACAAAGCTTTATTAAAAATTACTGTTTGCCACTCTATATCAAAAAGCTTTCCCTGTCTCTGCTCTGGTATGTTGTTGCCTCTAATTTTGTGACATTGATCTCAGAGGTGTGTGGCCCTTTTCACAGAATCATAGAATCACAGTAGAGAAAAGACTCTTAAGATCATTGAGTCCAACTGTAAGCCTTACACTGTCAAGTTCACCACTAAACCTTGTTCCTAATTTTAACTTCATTTTCCCCATTGCCCTTCCTGGAGAGGCATACCTTCTAGGACTGTTGTCATTCGTTTGTGTGCTACTGTCATGTACACAAAACAATGATCTCAAAGTTGCCATAAAAGTTGTAGTTCTATGGAAGTAAAACTAGCAATAGCAATACTTTCATAATGAAATACGTTTAATCTTTTAATCTTGCACGTCATCTATGAATTAAAATTTTGATTCCTCACTGTAGAAAGTACTGCAGTAGTTTTATATTGATAGCACTGGCAACCTCTCTCTTCTTTCAGTGATAAAGATGGTTAAAGGTAGGTGCAACAACTGCTACAGAAATTCTGTAAAATTTAATCAGATTTGACACAAAATTCTATTGCTTTACTGCACAAAACGAAACTATAGACATGATGGTTCCAGTATGATCGTGACATGGAGTTTTATACCTCTATCTCACCCCAAATAAAAAGCTGTCAAATATTTTCCTGTGTCTGGATAATTCTCAGACACAGATGAGAGCAAGCTGGCTAAGTCTCATACAATTCAGACTTAAATGATTATTGTGGGATGTGGAAAGCAACAGGAGGCTTTGGATGAGGTTATATCATCTCCTCTGCTTTGAGTGTATGTGCCTGGTTTTTGTTCATGAAGTTCTCAACATAGGGATCTGATTAGATTTGCAGTTGCTTCTAGATGATCAAACAGTACAATAGTACTAAGCCTTCTTGCTTCATCTGCATCTGGTTAAGAGCTTGTGTGATTTCCTCCCTAAGTAGAGTCCTCCTCTGGTGACTTATAATTTTACTGCCATAATTGTGGAGTACAGCAAAAAATAGGAGGACATCTTAAATTCATGCTGAGGATATAAATGACAGAATACAGATGCCCATTTGATAGAAAGGAGTAATTTATAGTGAGCACAGTGATGTTTGCATGTAAGCATATGTATGGATGGTCATTTGGCTTCTTTGTGGAATTCTGAAGTCCATTTTGACTCAAAAAATGTCCAGGTAACTTGGCAATGATCCATATGGGACACATTTTTCTCTCAGTTAAATGTGCAACCAAATGAAAGACAGAAGTACAGTCTGGAGTTCAAGGATATTTTTCCCTTGATTGACCTGAAATAATTTGATTTCTTTCTTTTCAGTTTTGCAACTAGAAAGATTGCAATACATATTTATAATCTAATACACTTGTACTTATTTTGTCTGAGATAGAGTTAATTTTTTTCCTAGGAGTTTGTATGGTGTTATATTTTGAATTCGTGATGAAAAGTGTGTTGATAACATAGGAACATTTTAGCTGTTGCTGAGTAGTGCTTACACAGAGTCAGGAGCTTTTCTGCCTCTCACCCCACCCCATCAGTGAGCAGGCTGGGGGTGCACAAGGAGTTGGGAGGCGGCACAACTGGGACAGCTGATGCCAAATGGTCAAAGGATTGTGTTCTTCATCCCATGCTGTATGGTGACATGCTCAGCATGTAACACTGGGGGAAGAAGAAGGAGAGGGGAAACATTCAGTAATTTGTCTTCCCAAGTCACCATTAGGTGTGGTGCATCCCCGCTTTCCTTGAGGTGACTGAACACATGTTCGTCCATGGGAAATGGGGAATCAATTCCTTCTTTTGCTTTGCCTCTAGCTGTCTGCAAAAGCAGCTGTTGCTTTACCTATTAAACTGTCAGCCCAAAAGTTTTCTCACTTTTACCCTTCTGATTTTTTTCCACTCCTAGCAGGGAGGAGTAAGAGAACAGTTGTGTGGGGTTGAGTTGCCAGCTGGGATTAAATCATGACAGCACTCTACGTATGATAGTAAATGTGTCACTTCTCTGGCTCCTTAAGTGTATTCACACTGTATTTTTCTAACCTGTACTACCTTATTAAGAGTGAATATAGCAGAATATAACAACTTATTTGCAATTTCCTTTGCTTTTAAGTCTGAGTGAAACTATGCTAAGTTTCCACATTACTATCTTCCTCTATGTCTTCCTCCTATGTCTGTGTTTACGATTTGATTCATATCGGAAAATGATAAATTTCTTCATAGTACCTACATATTTGATAGCAACAGATGAATCTACACTTGAGTCAGGGGGACAAGGGTATTCAAAGGCAGATTTAGGTCCATCAAATTGTGCAAACCACTGGCAAACGTAGCCAAATCTTGCCCCTAACATTGTGAGTGTTACATTATATAAGCACAAGCTTAAAAAAATAGATGACCCTTAGAGTAAATTGAATTCAGAAATGTGTCCTAGGAGATGTCCCTTAAATATCAGGTAGAGAGTAGTGCTTCTTTTATACTTACTCGCTGCACACATAGATGTTGATTTTATTTCTATGGAATTGCCAATTCTTAGAAAAGTCATACATCTACTTTTGTGTAGTCTGAAGTCCAGTGACTGTGGTATGCTGCAACACCTTTGGCTAAGGGTTAGTTAAAATATACATTTTTTAAATCATTTGGTCACTGTATCATAGCTAAACTGTGGCTCTCTCTACTCTTTTGTCCTTTTCTAAAAGATAAAACCTGTTCCAACTGCAGTTATGGAGCATCTCAATAACTGTGGCTTGCTATGCACCAGTCAAATTTGAGCACCCTTTGGAAATTATGTTACACCAAATCTTTGGGTTCTTCATTCATTATATTGGAGCCAAGTATGGATTTTCTACACTTGAGTTCAGCAATTAAACTGCAGATACATAGAGAAATTTCATGCACCTGGAAATATCCAATATGAGGGCAACTTGTATGTTACGTCTCATTCTTCTTTTGGATATGGACTTAGGCTATTTGTATTTACTTTGTTCAGCAGTTCAACACAATTTTAAGCCCATCGCATTTTGTGTTGTTGGTTTCAGTTACGTATTCTCATTAACAGGATGTTAAAATTGTGTTGGGATGATATTTCCTCTTCTTTAAGGAGTTATTTATGACTTTTCAGGGGTTTATTTTTTATTTTTATTGACCTTCTCATATAGAAAGCTAAACCAAACTTTTCTGCTTAGTAGAGCATAAAAATTGGGTCATTCTGCCATTTTCCCTACTGGTTATCAGCTGTGCACTCTCTAAGTCAGTTTGAGGATGCTACCTTGGCACTGAAAATTGCAATTTGGAACAAAAAACATTAATTATTGAAGGGTTTTATGAGAATTGCTTTTGATAACAAAGTACTTTTGGAAGTTTTGACTAACTAAGCAGCAATATAACGACATTCGTCCTTATAGGAGGCATCAGGAGCAAGCCACCCAAACCAGTAATGAATTCAGTAGTTTTATGGTTTTGTTTTGTTTTTTTCTTTCTTTTTTTTTTCCGTGCGGTAAACAGATACCTGAGAACCGGTTGCTGATTTATTTAATTTAAAGAATAATAAACATCCTGCATCAGGTATTGGAAATAAGAAATGTGTTGAAGCTGAAAATATAAGTCTGTTAGTTCACATAAGTATTGCTACTTAGACAGAAGAGTTTCTTTATGTTGGATAGAGAACAGTTTTGTTTTCATAATTTCTTGGCAAAGAGTTGAATTGTAATTGTCATCAGATGGGTGGTCTCAAGTGAGTTTAAACTAAGCAAATTTTAAGCAACGCTTTAATATTCTGACCCTCTCATTGGGAAAATTCCATTTATAGGCCCTGTTACACTCTGTATTTTAAACTACAAGATGCCCAGAGCAGTTACATTTTATTTAGGACCTTTTAAAAGCCTTTTGGTTCATTATAACCTCGAATTAGCATCCAGAGAAAGAGTCACACACTCTTCTTTAAGAGAAATTATTTGAATTTAGTGAGAAAAATAAGATATTTTGGCAAAAGGTTTTACAGGAGTAAAATACAACCAAGAAAAATACATTTCACTAGAACATTCAGCAAAAAGACCCATTACACAGAAAACACCTACTAAAAACAATCAATATACTAGCTTTAGTAAAACACAATTCATTAGTTTTAAGTTACAAGAGAAGGGAAAGACTAAAAGAAGAAAACAGATTAAAAGGCTAAACAAAGAGAGAAGTAGAGAGGGGAAAGAAAAAAATGGTTACCGTACAAGATCTGGTGGTTCACATGGTTCAGGTTGCAGGAAAGAGAAGAGACAGAGGAAAAGAGAGAGAAGAGGAATGGTTACTGGTTCACATGGTTCAGGTTGCAGAAGAGAAGACAGGAAGAAGCAGAGAGGGACTCACATGGAGTCTCATATTACATAGTTTAGTTTTCCCTCCCAGGCAGGATATCCAGTCACTGACCACTTAGTGCTTTCCAGGACAGGGTGATGGACTTCCAGGCCAATCATAGGCTGCAGGGGCGTGGTGTGGGTGGGCTACCAGGCAGGTCTGCCTTGACCTTGCATCTGCTACTCTGAAATATTTAGGGTCATCTGCAAAACAGAATTTCTATTTACCTTCTTCCTGTAATCTGTTTGTCTAGCATAGCAGCAGAGCAGAAATTGCAGTGATTTCCTTAATTCCTTCTATAGTGGATTGATACCAGTCAAAAACATCATTTCTTACTAGCATTGTCAAGTTCATTTCTTGGACTTGTGGAATAGATATGGTTTCATAAGAAAAAGGTCAATCTTTAATTATTTTAGGGAGCATAAGTTTCAAATGAACTAAAGCAACATTATCTACACATTTAAGATACCTCAGATATTTGTAACCAGCTGCCTGGCTACACAGACATTATGAATTCTTCCACACTAAATCACAGTACCAAGCAAAGAATGTAGTTCTTTACGCTAGCTAGTGGATTTGTGACTTCCTTGGAATAGCTGGAGCTGTAAACTGCTAAACAGATAACTGATGCATAATGGTAGTTTCCTCGTCTGTGCCAGATGCAATAATGGCCTGGGCATATTTTGCAGGTAATATAAGTGAAAATTTTGTCCATTCTTCTTATCCCATAAGTCTTACATTTTGGACTTTTGTGCTAGAAATAGCATGTACTCTCTGCTTTTAAAAAATTTTTAAAAAATATCTGCAATGGATATGACGAAAACCGTAAAATTCACCTTATTTATCTTCATGATAATATTAGGATCATTCTTAGTTTCAGTTTTTCTTAGCATGCTATGCATATTATTTATACTATATCCAGAGACTAAAATTCCTTTAGAAATTTCTCTAGGAGAATCCTTCTTTTGCAAAGTTTACAGTGTTTATTATGCTAACGTTTTGAGCTTTTTTATGTTTTTGCACTTAATTTATATGACAGACATATAAAGCCTTTTATCTATGACTGAAATATCTTCTGCTACTATGAAAAGAAATAGTTGTACTGCCAAGTTTGGAACGAGGACTTGAGGAAAGAGTTTTCAGTTTTCATTAGTTATTGCCTTTGAGTTACTTGTTTTCATATAACATTTCTCTTGAAATTATCAAAAATTGAAAATTATTTGCAGAGATTATTTTGTAGACTATTGTAGCCTGCTTGTTGATTTTGTTTGTTTTTTTGGTTTTGGGGGTTTTTTGACATTAAAGTAAAGGTTTATAGGTTGAAGAGGTTTCATTTCTTTAGGCAACTTAGGAGATCTTCCCAGTCACCAGACATAAATTTGTTCCTGCTTGCATCCTGATTCCATAAAGAGACAAAATCTTGATGTAGAACAACCTCTTCCCCCTACCTAGGGAAAGGAAATCCAGGGAGAAATCTGGAAAGATTTAGACTAAGTCTTGGCTGTCACAATATCCTTATTCAGTGGTCTTAATCCTTGCAGCTTGATTTGACATAAACACATTCTAACGTTTGCTTTAAAATTGACAATTATCTGGCATTGACCTTATTTGTTGCATTTGGTACAGAATGTAAGGAAAAAGATAGGTAAAATTTAATTTAACTTTAAATGCCTGTTGACATTAAACACTGTCACACACTGACTCTTTTACAGCAGAAGATACAAACAGGAGTATACCCTCATGACAGCTTCCCTCTCTTGTCTACATATAGAGACTAGCTTAGACAGTGGAGTTTATAACATATCCAAAGGGGTCTTACTTACCCAACAACTGAAAATTGTTTTACTTAAAAAAAATTGGTTTTTTTGCAAATCAGACTATTCCAATCAAATTGGTTGTTTCAATATACAATTTTTGGCATTTTAATTTCTTTCAATATACATTGAAAGAAAAAAGTAAAATTATGGTAAGAAATGGACACCTAATGGTAGAGAACGCTTGAGTACTAAAAATACTAGAGTAGCATCATCTGCTGCTGTCTGTACTTTGCTGATGCCTAGGAATCCAAACAGTCAGTTATGACCCTTCTCAGCTATGAGGTGTGAGGTAGAGCTAAAGTATTTTCTTGCCTCAGTTGAGATGACAGCCTATGCATTGAATGCATGATGAAAACACAGCACTGCAAAGAGATCATGAGACAAACATTGCTTAGCAATATAGACTATGTTTTAGTGCACCAATTCCTTAGGGGCTTTGGTTTCTTTTATGCATCATGGCCAAAAACGGTTTTAGGAAGAGAATTGATGGTGGATTACAAGATAGCTCTAGGGGGCTTTTAAAGGAGATCCTCCCAGGCGTGAAAGGCAGCATAAGAGTAAGCCCGAAATTGCTTGCTGAAAAATGTAGCAAGAGTGATGAAGGTAGGCAGGCTTGGGCTCATAGAAAACAGAAGTGTAGGTACATAGTGTGAGGATTGGCCACCAGGGTACCTGCTAATAAAGACAAATAGTGTATATTTGATGAGATAGAAAAAACAGTGGAAGGACATAAAGGGAAAAGAAATGAGCTAGGAAAATATTCCTTACAGTAGCATTCTGAATAGATTTGCATGAGGCAAGATCATCTCTCAAAGCTGAAAAATAAGACTTTCCAATAAGCAAGATATGAGATGATGAGGATCTAGGGAGAGTTTTAACTGCAGAGACAGAGAGGAGTATGGTATCTTATAGCTATTATGCAGAATGAATCAACAAAAATTAGATGTAGCTGGGTTATGAGGCTCTGGAGGGTAGGCTGAGTCAAAGATGATGCCTAGGTTATGGTCCTTGATCTTATACTGAGTCTGATAGGTTCTTTAACATTAAATTTGTTGTTCATAATATTTTTTAGAGTAATTGTAAGAATATTTCAGTAGAATAAGGAAAAGACAAATGTCTTTTTCAAAGTAGAAAGGGAAAATTGTCTAGAAATGTAGAGGGAGTAGGGGAAAACCTCCTACAATACCTGTCTTAAGTGACATATATAACCAGCTTCCACCATTTGTGACAATGGAGTTCTGGGACAACAAAGGTAAAGGAAAAGCATGAACAGTAATTCAACTTCACAAGTTCAGTTCAGAAGTATGGGGCTGAATTGCAGATCTTTGTTCTCTATCTTGTTCACTACCAGTGACATTTTATTAATTCCCTGCTCACAGTGTGCCCATCCATCCCAAGCTGGAAAGCAGCTTACCTGTTCTCAAGCACCAGTTCGCCTAGATCTCTTAGATCCTGAAATATGCAACACTACACAGAAACTTCTGTGCTTGCTTTTCGCACTGACATTTTGGAATGCCTGTGTCATAATGTCGTCACTGTAGGTCACTTTACTGGAAGGGTGATGGAAGGTTGTCATTTATGACGGTAAGGTAATTCTAATTGTGGACAAAAATGAATGCAGTTATTTTTAGATATGAGCAAACAATACCTTCTTTTTTTATTTTTTTCCCAACTCTTTTCTATCACAGTTTCATTTCTTACATTTTATTTTTATCTATGTGTCTTATTCCTCATTAATTTGATTATCTTGCTAACATGTATCTTTACACCTGGAGCCATGAATCCTCTTTCTCAATGCAGACAAATGAAAAAGGAACCCTTTTTTGATACAAATCTGGCAATATCTACACCTACTTTTCAGACTGGGTTATTTTAAAATGTTGGTGCCGATAGGGATTACCTCTCTCTTTATCCCTTAATGTTACACTACATAACTTTCATTTAACTAGAATATATGTCTATGGTAAAATTTTCTTAGGCATTTTATTAATTTATTTACTTGTAGAACTTTTCTAGGGAGCATATACCTAGCTATAACTCTGAAAATACAGGTCTAAACCATGTACCAGGTACAGATCCTTGGTCAAAAGGAGATTTTGAGTTAATAAAGTTCTCATAATGGGCTTTACATAGCCTTTTTGGGTAAAAAAAAAAGAACAAAAATGCAAAACAAAACAAACCAAAAAAGCCCAAACAAAAAATCAAAGGCATACACAGTAACCGAAATCCATTAACTGGTTTGATTTACTCACTTTGACTGGTACAGTGCACAGTTCTGTGTGCACAATATCATTCCAGATTACTTACTTCTTGATTTATTTTTCTGTAATTTTCCCTATTGTTTTGTGTTAGAAAGAAGATTACAAGGCTCACATATAAAAAGTAGTTTTCAATCAAGTATTAAAATAACAATTAAATTAAAAATCTTTTTGGATATATTAGGACCAGGTTGTGTTGTTGGTTTGTATTGTTTATTCACTGCTTATTTAAAATATTCTCAAAATGCTGCTTGTACTTACTCATGAAAATAATGAACTGTCACATGCATTTTACATGTTGGCCCTCCCATGAGGGCTTTTAGCAAGCTCTGCTCTTTGAGCAGCCTGTATAGTTTTAATGGAGATTGGGGCAGTGGAGAGAGGAAAGCTACAGGAAAAGATTATGAGTTAGGAAAAAAGGCTGTGATTAACTAGCTTGACATTCACAACCACTTTGGTACAAGGGGGAGAAAAAAATGCTTCCTGTGAAATAGCTGCAGCATTTAAAGCTGTTCATATTTGTTGTAAGCTATTAATCTTCAATTTTTTTCTATCTACTATTTTGTAGTTAATACTGCAATGCCGAATATAATTCATAACAATTTACTAATATTTTAAGTAGGAAATTATTATTTTTCTTAAGTTCTTTTAGTTGAGATAATTTCCTTCAGATTTTTTTCATTCTGTTTTTTACTATTCCAATTCTACTCCAAATAAACTTTACAAAGGAAAACTTCTCTTTTCACATACTGTGGATAGAGAAAATGACTTATCATTGAATGCAATTCACAAGGTAATCATACAGATAAATACTAAGCTAGCTGTTGTGGTGTAAATTTATAAGAAGGCTGTGATTTAAGTCACATTATTTAAATAGAGTGACATTTAATCTCCAGCTTTAAGGGAGGAACTTATTTTTAGATGTGAATCTAAATTTGTAATCTTAAATAGCCATATTTAGCACCCAACAGTTGAAGAAAATCTGACTGAAATTAAGTCTTTGACTAGTTTTTAGCAGGAACATTTAGAGGATACTCTCATTGTTGAGGATGTTCATTAACCACCAGTCCCCACATTATTAGAGCATGGAAAAACTTTCATTTTACCTGATTAACTCTAGAGACAAAAATATTAATAGAAAAAAAAAAGGTTAAACTGGTGCTTCTCTTTTCCTAAATGTGTTACTGTAATCCTAAATAATTTCTTGTTTCCTTCTCTCTATCTCTCTGGTGAGTATTGACATATTACCACAAAAATATAAGACTATCTTAATAGGACTTATGAGCATTCTGTAAATTACACTATCCATTTTAAAAGACCTCTTTGCCACCACTTACCCTTTCCCTTACTCTAGCTAAGCAAAGAAATTATTTCTGCTTTAGAAACCTGAAAATACTTGTTTTCTATGTGGTGATGTGTTGATCCTGTCAAGTATCTTAAAGTCACACAGCAGATAGCTTGCTCCCCTCTATTCCAACCGGACAAGGCAGTGAGCAGGAAGACTAAAAGTTAGAAAATTCATGGGCCAAGATGAAAACAGTTTGAAGAGTAGAGGAAAAGGAAAAAACAAACAAACAAACAAACAAGTGATGCAAAGATAATCCTTCACTACCTCCCACAAGTATGCCCAGCTAGTCTCTGAGCAATGGCTACAGCCCCACAGCTTTTAATAATGAGTTTAATTTTATGTTGTTTGGAATATCCTTTAGGTCAATTTGAGTCAACTGCCAAGGCTGTGTCCCCTCCCAACTTCTTTTGTGTCTTAAGTGTACTCATTGCACGGAGTAGGCTCTTCTTTTTTCCTAATCTTTGCCCTTTTTTCCTAACCCTTCCCCTTCCTTTTTCCTCACCTTTCCCCTTCCTTCTTTCCTTGCCCCCCTCCTTTCTCTTTCCCCTTCCCTTCCCTTCCCTTCCCATGGCATTTCACCTTTCATTTCTATTTAACTGAAAGCATTTGCTGTGGTAAAACAAACTATGATACTGATGAACACTGACATTTGCTAACACTATTAAGTAGTAAAACAAAGGCTGAGAAGACAATAGACCCAACAGGAGACTACCCACAGATTAGAAGAAAAAGAATACCATCAGCTCTTAATTGCCAATTCAGCCTACTAATCTTGGATTAAAAAATAAAAGCAAAGATCAATTTATTATTATTTTCTTTTGAATTTGGCATCTCTGGCCAAAAAAGGAGCCAGAAGAAGAGTGGCAGAAATAGCTTGGGAATTGTAAGACAGAGAGAATACATGGCCAAGCAATAGGGAACAACAGCAAGAAAGACAGCTCAATTTTAAGAAGTCCTTGATACATTACAGCTTTAAACCCTGGACTGTGCTGAAAATCAGTCATAAGTAAACTAAAAATTTTAAATTGAAAAATAAAACCCAGAATATATGGGGAAGAAAAGAATAATTTCTGTACAATTAAAATACTGCAGTCATTTTTTCCTGATCTATGCTGAGTCCTTATTTTTTCATCTGTTAACAAAAGGGGAGTAGAAGAGCTGTGTAAAACATTTGACAGCCGTTATTAAGTATAGAGCACATATGACTCTTCCAGGTCTTAAGTTTGTTTTGTATTCATAAATATCAATTTCAGCATTTTTTTAATTGAAGTTAAAAATATGGTTTCTGCATATTACTTTATAGAAAAACTGTTTTGAGCAACTAATTGATATTAACTATATTCACCATAATAGATATGTGCACCAAAAGTCTGTATGTACCCATGTGTGCACAAATACAATGGAAACAGAATGCATTTATGTGGAAAGGAATATTTTCTTTGAAATGTCAGTGACTTTTTTTAATGCACAAGATTGTATAAAAAACTCATGTGTCAAGAATTTAAAAAAAAAAAAAATCCACCAAAAAACCCAGAAAAGAATAAAAGGAGACATCCAAAAGAAAGTCTTAGAGATAAAAATATCTGTTATAGAGAGCCCAAGAAAAAAAATATTTAGTGTATTTTAAGTTTCCATTCTTCTTCTAGCTTCTTAAAATCAGCTCTCAAATTTCTATATTATGATGTTATGCTCTAGGGATCAACTGAATCTCTGTTTAAGGAGGGATGCATTTAAGTTTTATCCTTATATTGAATTCTAAGTTATTTCATAAAAAAAAGTATTTAGCATGATTGTAAGATTGCTGCAAAAGGAAATGGAAATAAATATGTAAACTCAAACATTTTCCCTAGTACTTCATTTGAAGGAAGTTTAGCTGGGAACAGTCTGAAAAACTAACAGGAGGAAACATTTTAACCTGAAATGAAACTTTATTGCTGTAGAGATATTGTGTGAAGATGCAGTGTAGATGACTAAACTAGATTATGTTGAGCTATAGATATCACAAGGAAGAGCACGTAGGAGAAAGGACACAAAAAGAGAAAGCAGAGATAATAAACATCAAGAAACAAAGAAGTTGTGCAGTTATAAGTGTGAAGACAAGAAATCTGTGTATGGGATGGAGAGGTGAGAAAAAACCTGTATGGGATGGAGAGGTGAGAAAAAACCTGGAAAGACAAAGGACCAATTGACCCAGAGCTTGAAGTCCCCAGTTGCCTTTAACACCAGTGGAGAGAGGGAGTGTCATTCTCTGTGTGACGGACACCACTTACTGAACTTACTGCTGTCTCATGTGAAGTGGCAGCTACTTTCTCTGCTGACTGTTGGGAGATGATGAGTAATGCATACCTCAGAACACAGAAAAGTGATGCATAGCCTGTTAACCAGAGCCAATGAATGGCATGAAATCCACTTGTGTAGGAAACATGGATACTGATTTTGCCATATATTATTTCAAAATATACATTCTTTATTATTCAGATGGCAAATAATCATGGAAGAAGTCAGAAAAATACATATTATGTAAGCCATCTCATGTGAACCTTTGGAAGACTTTTACATCAAATATGTTCATCTGTGGTTTTTCTTCAATGTGCTCTGAATGTAGATGCTAGGGAGCAATTATTTAATTAAGAATACTAGTGATCTTTTTCAGTCAAAGATAAAAGTGCACTTCTAGTCTAATGATCTTGAGTATTTTGAAAACCAGCATATTACACTGATTGTTGCACGATTTCAACTTTTTGATCAGTTAAACTTAACAGTTAATTACATTTAATCAGATGTCACTAGTACAGTATGTTCTTTTCTTTAGTCTTTATTCTTTTGTCTTTTATTTTCATCTGTTCTTTCTGCCGTAAAGAGGAAGTAATTGTCTAGTTGCAAC